GCAATCCCAGAATCTGCAGTGCACATGTGAGCTGAGCAAGGAGTTGGAAGGATTCAGCCCAGAACTGGGGGGACAGAAAGTGCTTGGGATCTGTGGGGGCCGGCCTGACTGCAGTGGCTAGGTTCAGGTGAAGAGGAATTTTAAACTAATGTCTCCTGTCAGCACAGGCAGCAGCAGGCTCCGTCATGGCACTAATGTCTCCTGTCAGCACAGGCAGCAGCAGGCTCCATCATGGCGTCTTCAGGCACGGGTGTGCTCACCTGTTCTCTTGCTTCTGCTGTTAATGTCTGTGTTCCATCACCTGCTATTTCCAGAGATTTTTCTTGGCTCAGTGTGGTGGCCATAGCTTTAATCCCAGCACTTAGAAGGTAGAGGCAGGTGGATGTCTCCACATGGTGCCTCAACCCTCTGTGACTCCAGTTCCAGTGGATCTGACACCCTTTTCTGTCTTCATCAAGTTAGGCATGCACATTGTATACAGACATATGTGTGCAGACAAAACATCCATTCATTTAAAAAAATATATGACTTACACATTGAGAGAGTATATCTAAATTTAAATCGAAGATCCTGGGCTGGCAATGACTAGGGGAAGGATGCTTGCCACTGAACCTCATGACCCGAGTTTGACCCCTAAGATCCGTACGGTAGAGAACCTACTCTTGGAAATTGTCCTCTGACCTCCACACGTGTTCTGTGACACCCCCCGCAATGTAAAGCAATAAATCTAAGTCCTCTGTAGAAAACAGAGTGTTTTATCCTTCCTTACTATACCAATTCCCATCCATTCTCCAGGTGCCGTGGTTTCATTACAGTATATGAGTGCATCGTGTATTGTGTACCACCCCCATGGATGATAGACTCGTGCCACCGCACCTGGTATCACGTTCCGCCAGCTCCTGTTGCTGTTCATCCATTCACTCGCCAGTGTGCGTGTGTGTGTGTGCATGTGCACATGTGTGCGTGTGTGTGTGTGTGTGTGCACATGCTATGATGGGTGTGTATAGGTAAGAGGACAGTTTGCTGGTGTTGGTTCTCTCTCTCCACCATGTAGATTCCTAGACTTGAACTCTCACCCTCAGGCTTGGCAGCTGGAGCCTTTCCACTGAGCTGTCTTGCCGGCCCAGATGTGTTCTTCCATTAAGGAAGCTGCCTTCTCTGAGATCTTTGTGGAAGCCTGGGTTGGGTGGCTGTGGGTGGGCATGTTGGACTGTCGCTGGACCTCTTCTCTCTGGCTGATCCCCAGGTCTGCTCTAGTGGCAGTGCCGGTGCCGGCACCATGCTGGTTTTCTGGCCGTGACTCTGCGGTGTGATTTGACATCAAGTCTTCCCGTGACAAGATTATTTTTCTGAGTTCTGTGAGGAGCGTTGTTTGAATTTTGATGGGGGTTGTGTTGGCTGTGGGCTGCTTCATGCCACGTTTGCCACTTCCGCACTGCAAGTGAGGTAGCCCTGAGCTCGATGGCCAGCCTGTCTCCCTCTGCTCCTTACAGTCAGGCCCTTGGTGCTGTGAAGTTTTCAGAGTGGTAGTCTTCCTCCTCCTTAGTTAGGCCCCTCTCCCTCCTTATCTAGGCTCCTCCCCCTTCTTAGACTCCTCCTCCTCCTTAGGCTCCTCCACTCCAGATTTTTGCTGTGCTGTTTGTTTGTTCATTTTCAACCTAGAAGGAATGGGATTTTTCCTCCCCAATTTTTTCCTTTCCTCGCAAATTTGTTATTGATACACAGAAAAATGATTCTTTCGTAGGTTGGTTTTGTGTCGTGCTCCCTCACTGGGTGTATTTATCAAGTCTAACCGGGTCTGCTAGAGTCTGCAGAGAGGCTGAAATGGAGAACCATGCCGTCTGCGAGCATGTGTGACTCGGCGTCTTTATTCTTTATTTTCTGTTGTTGTCCTTTTTCTTCCTTTCTCTTACTGCTCTAGCTAAGACTCTGAGCACCAGACTGAGGGAATGCGGAGGAGTTTGCCCTCTGTCTCCTGCATCTGGCAGTGAATGCTACCTGACCCACTCTGGTGGTCATGGCCTGTTTGAGCTGTGCTCCTTTTCAGCGTGTGTGTGTGTCTGTGTGTCTGTGATACTGAACTTTGTTGACGGCCTTCTTTATGTCAATTGAGATGATAGTGCAGTTTGTGTCTTGGGTCTTTCCGAGTGCTGAGTTACACCTACACTTACAACCGGGACGTGTTTCTGCCTGGTGAACCATGCTTGCACCCTGGGAATAAAACCCTCTTGGTCCTGGCACGTGATCTTCTCATCGTGTTCTTGTTTGTTTCTCAAGACAGGGTTTGTCTGTGTAACATTCCTGGCTGTCCTGGAAGTCCCTTTGTAGACCATGCTGGCCTCAACCTCACAAAGATTCACCTGCCTCTGTCTCCCAAGTGCTGGAACTAAAGGTCTGTGTCACTGTGCCCAGCTTTCACTGTGTTCACTGTGTTCTTGACTACAGTTTGCCAGACTTGGAGATGTTTGTGTCTGTGTTGATGCGAGACATTGGACAGTGATTTCTTCCTTTGCTTTGTCCTGGTTTGCTTTGGATCAGGGAAATACTGGCTTCCTGTAGTGAAGGGTGGTTTCCGCCTCCTGAAGCTGTTGAGCAGCATACATTGCTTGCCCCATAATGCAAGACAGACAGCTGCAATTGGGAGAGGCCACCTTGGGGTGGCTTAGAGGAAACCGGTGGATATGAGGAGGACTGACTGGAATCACCCCAAAGCTGCCACTGGGCCAAGTCTTCACGAGGTGCTGAGATACGGGCAGGGTGAGGTACTGCTCGGTATCATATGACCTGCCAGCAACCTTTTGGTTCTTTGCTGCTCAGCTCTGAGCACTGGACCCAGCACACACAGCAGTAGATGCTACAAAGGGAAGTGGAAGGAGATGGCAGGGGGGACAGTTGTCCATCAGCTTCAAACACAAGGACATGGCCACCTGCTGGACCTCATGGCCTCTGGCTGGGGAAGCCAATGTGCCACTCCCTCTTAAACCCTCCAGGTGTCCTGTGCCCAGCGAGATGGACAGCCAACACTGAAACTCTGATCTAAGGTCCTTCCCTGTCACACCCCCAACTCCCACCTACCTTCCCACTGTGTGTGCTCTCTAACCCTTGTCTGTGCCCTCTGACCCTCGTCTGTGTCCTCTGACACTCGTCTGTGTCCTCTGACCCTCCTCTGTGCCCTCTGACCCTCCTCTGTGCTCTCTGACCCTCCTCTGTGCCCTCTGACCCTCGTCTGTGCCCTCTAACCCTTGTCTGTGCCCTCTGAGCCTCATCTGTGCCCTCTGACTCTTGTCTGTGCCCTCTGACCCTTGCCTGTGCCCTCTGAACCTTGTCTGTGCCCTCTGACCCTTACCTTCACGTTTTATTTTGAAAAGTCACAATTAGGCTTTTGTTTTGTGTAATGATAAACAGACTTCTATTTTGAATAATCAAAGGTAAGCTTTTGCTTTTCAATAACATTTCACATGTAAGTTAACTCTGTAAGCCAAAGGTACATTCAGCAATTAATTTTTAGCACAGTTTTAAATGAGTTCATGTTATAGCTAAGTAAAAGTTAAAATTCTACAATGTAAGGCCGAGGCTTTTTGCCTGGAGCCACGCCCAGGACTCAGAGAGCTGGCTGTATTTTGTCACACAGGAGCACACGGCCCAAATGGTCTACATCACGACCCACAGCTCTCTAAACAATCCAGCCTCAGCCACACACAAACGCAAAGAACCCAGTTCCCCAAATGCCACCCCGCACCCACCTAAGACACCGATGCTCCTACTGTGAGATGGGCTGACTGTGTGCAAGGTGCCCATTACAAAATGCACCCTGTCATCGTCAAGGCCACACTAATGAGCAGGAAGTGAGCACCGAAGTCTACATTGCAACAGGGAGCACCGAAGGTGTGGCTTCTGAAGAACAAAGCTTCCCCGTGCCGCGGAGCTTTCGGTTAGGATAGCCCTTCGGGCTGCTGTGTGGGAGCCAAGCCTGAGGGACAGGCCAGCCCAGGACCCCTCTGCCGCTCTGAGAAACTCAGCCCTCTGTCCCCTGCTGCTTCTGTCCTCTGCATTATCAGATAGCATCACCATTCTTTGTGTAGTGCCCCAGCTTCAGCTCCAGTCTGCTTCCTGGGACATGGCAGCCATTACTTAGGATTGGCTTTCGGCCTGGCGCCCAGTAGACGGCCCAGTGCTGGGTGCTCCTTCTGCTGCCGGCGGTGCTCCCGCCGCTGCAGGCGTTCCCTCCCCCGGGTCACAGCCTCCAGGTACCACTGCTGCTCTTTCCACCGCTGTTTTCGCCGTTCCAGGTTCTCCCTCCTGGCCTCCAGCTTGCAGAATTCCTCATCCAGCTGCTGGAGCTGTGTTCGCAGCTGCCTGTTCTCAGCTTTAATACCCTCCCAGAAGTCCTCGTGAGCCTGTTTGGCCGCGGTGTCCAAGGCCTTGGCCTTCTTCTTCAGCTCCCTGGTGATTTTCTCTCCAGACTCCAGAAAGTTCAGATCCTCCATTTGCTTCTCCAAGACGGCTTTCTCCTTCAGAAACTGAAGGTGTGCCTCTCGGTCCATGAAGGAGACGTCAGGGTCTATGCTGGCCTCCTCCAACTCCAAGGCCTGGATCGTTTGCCGCTGCCTCTCCCTAACCTGCGCCGTGGGCTCCAGGGCCTTCAGCTTCTTCTTCAAGCTGGCCTCGAGCCTCTTGCCCTGCATCAGCTGCCTCTGGAGGTCTGCCGTGCGTGAGGTGAAGGTAGAGACCAGCTCTCGCCTCCTGTCCTTGATCTCCTCACACTGCCGAATGTAGTCTTCCCACAGAGAGTCATACTTCCTCTGTTTCTCCTCATTCTTCTGCTGCAGGTACTCAAGGAAGGGCTTGCTGTCTGCTTTCTCACATAGGATTTCCTTCTGCATGGCCTTGATGTCGTTTACGAGGACCGACCGTCGTCTCTTAACCGCTTCCATCTCCTCCTCCAGCTCAGTCATGGCCGCCACAGTCTTCTTCCTTACCTTCTTCTCCAGCTTTGTCAGAGTCTCTGGCTTCAGATAGGTGTTGAGAATGACCATTTGTGAAGACTGTAAAGGAGGGGTTTGGGAGTCCACAGCAAATCCTTCTTTAGAATCCTGGAGCTCACTGGGAGTGCTTTCCACGTCTGTGTTGGTGATGCTGACCATCGAGGAGCAGGTGCTGGCAACGCGGCACAACTCAGAGGAGCACTGGTCAATTAGGGGAAGGTCCTCCTTTTTCTTCTGGTCCAGGAGTAGTTCTGGCCACCTCACCCGGAAGTCATGTATGGCCTTTTTCCTGCTCAGGAAAGCTCTGTAAGAGAAGTCTTCACGTATCCCAGCTGTCTCATCCTTTGCAGGAAGCAATGGTGGGGCAGCAGCCCCTTGGGGCAAAAGGGTAGCTCCATTTCCCTGTCTTTGAGGGTAGAGGGTACCTCGCCTGCGTCCTTTGGACTCCATAGTTCCTCCCCTTCTGGATGCAGGGCTTTGCCCCTCCCAGATCCTACTACCAGGACCTCAGAAGCTCAGCACTTTCTCCTGGCTACAGCAGTCCCTTCTGTTCATCCTCAGAACTCAACAGTCACAGGCAGCCACCTCCCCCACATCTTTCCAGTGTCAGAGGTACAGGCCTCTTTGGCCCAGGCAGAGCAGAATGTGGACTGTTAGCCTAGTCACTAACTCTGGTGGGCGGGGCTGGCGAGGGGCGGGGCTTGTGCCAAGGGGGCGGGGCCTAGATAGGCCATGCGCTTGGAGCTGTAGGTTAGTGTTCAGCAAAGTAGAAAGAAAAGCTTGGATCCTATGGTAGACAGCATCCGGGCTTTCTCAGCCCTGCCCTGAAGACCCTTTGAACCCATGACCTACACTGTGCGGGCTGGGAGGCAGGGAGGGAAGGTACCGAGGGCCTGGAGCCTCCAGGCTGTTGGTTTTGCTTCGCAGTGCAGTCTGGGTCTATTCCACAGGCATTGGACACCCTTGGTGCCTGCCGTTCCCTGTGGCATGAGCGTCTTCCTGATGGGAAGGGTGGGGCTTGCAGCGCCAGCTACCTGTTTCTCAGGAAAGGAGAGCCGCCTCAAAATTGTATCCAGCACAGCCACCACAGTGCCGCAGGTAGTGTTGAGAAGGCCCCGAGTGTGGAGCGAACGGCCTAGGAAAGGACATGGAGGAAAACCTCCCACAAACAGCAGCTGCGCAGAGCGGAGGACCCCTCCCCCAAAGCACGGCCACTGCGCTGGCTGGCTCTCCTGCTGGGAAGGACAGTTGAGGAACCCCCCTTCCCGGGAAGAGAGTACTTGACTTGTGGGACAGGAGGTTTCAGTGCTTCCTGGCCAGGAGACCCACGGGAGCAGGAGGAAGCAGGGAGACGTGTCCATCTGTCTGGAGACTCGGGAGGAGGCTTCTGGGATAGGCCGTGCATAGCTGATGGTCTGTGTGCCACCGATGACCTCATCTCTTGCCCTGTTCCCGAGCTTGGGTCTCAGTTCAGCCCTGCTATGTGTCTGCTGTGGGTGCAGACAGCAACTCGTGCCCAGGAAATGTGAAAAGGGGGTGGGGGTGAAGAAAGAGTGAAAGACAAAAAGAAGAAGCTGCAGGGAAGGGAAGGACTCAACAGATACCTTTAGTCCAGCACTGGGAGGTGCTAGCATAGGCTGGCAGATACTGGGACCCTGGGATTCTGCCTTTCAGCAATGGATGCACTGTGACCTCTGACCTCTCCTCTCTGTCAGTAACCTCCACCTCAGTGTCAGTGACAAGGCCTTGTCCTGTAGATGCATTCACCTCACTGTTCATCACAAGGGAGAATTCTGTTGATTCTGAGGAATAATAAGAAGCAGTTCACCTGTGGCTGACCCCTATCTACCCATACAATGTGACCTTTGTGGCTGTGGCTGTGTGAAGACCTCAGGGTACCCACCTAGGGCAGTCCCTTCCCTGTGGACACGGGAAGCCAGCATGATGCTGGCCCTAGGTAGAGTTTCCTATGTTGAGCTTAGGCAGGGTTTCCCATGCTTGGCATTAGCGAGTTCTAGGCATGGCTTTTCTTGGGTAGGGTGACCGACCTGGATGCTGTGCCAGTGATGGTCCCCAATAACCAAAGGATAACTGCAGCCATTCCCAAGTTGTCAAAGTCATAACCACCCAGGTATTGTGACATGGCCTTAGAGTGAGTTACCCCACGGGAGCCCTGGACTGCTTCTCATGTTGGCAACTCTTCTCTCTTGACATTTCTGCCCTGTCTGCCTGCAGGTGGGTAGGCTTTGAGCACGCCAGCTTTCAAGGGCAGCAATATGTACTGGAGAGGGGAGATTATCCAGGCTGGGATGCCTAGGGTGGTAACACAGCCTACCCTGCCGAGAGGCTCACCTCCTTCCGGCCTGTGGCCTGTGCTGTGAGTCCTACTGCCCACACCCATCCTACTGCCTGTACCCCTGAGTGACTGCTAATGGACACTTGGGAATCAGAACTCTAAACCCGGGTTCTCGTCCATCAAAGGAGTGTGTGGGTTCTCTCTCTCTCTTTCTCTCTCTCTCTCTCTCTCTCTCTCTCTCTCTCTCTGTCTTTCTCTCTCTGTCTCTTCTCTGACTTTCAGTCTCTGTAATTTGAAATGAGGTGACAGCAGCCATCTTGTGACTACACCCCAACATGAAATCTCAGCCTGTAGCAATTTTGGTTATGGCTGAGAGCCCTTTCGGGTGGTACTTCCCTCTTTTAATGGTTTGAGAACCCCAGGGAAAGCTGGATGCCAGGGAAGGCAGGGCTGGCCAGGGAGACAGGTCCCTAGCTCATCATGGCTTCTCTGTTGTGCATTACTGCCCGCTGGTGATGCATGGGTGGAGACAGGCTTTATTCTCCCACCCCAGGGAGATATGGACGGCTCCATGTTACGGCTATGAGAAAACTGAGCTGCAGAAACACAGTGTGGCAAACCTGATCTCAGCCAGCTGGCAAAACGCTGAATCGGGAGTTTAATCCATATGGTCACATAGCACGACACCCTACCTTCCTGCCTGGTTTCTGTCACTGGACATTTAGATCAGTTCCTTCATGTTTTACGACTGTGGTGGACATCCTTATAGTTATTGTCCCGTCCTGTTCTGTTGTTACCTCCCTGTGACTGCCCTCACCCAGTGGCTGTAACAGCCACACCAATGCTCCCAACCTGAGGGTGTTCCATGACCTCAGGCCCAAGTTAGGTCACTTTTCAAGAAGGTGACACTCAGCTGTTGTGGGAAACCTGACTCCCAGAACAAGCATCCTGAGACTTGCGTGGAGAATGTAGTCATTCACACCAGTGACTCGGGTAGCCTTGAAGTGCCTGAGTGCCCAGCTGCAGTCACTCAGGGGGTTTGTAAGAGGCATGGTATCATTCTTCATCTTTCTCTTCATTGGTTGGTTTCAGTTCCGGGCTATGTGACTGAACTCCATAAGAGGGGCTTTCTGTCAGCAAGTGCTTACAGAAGCAGGAAGTGGACCAGGCTGGTAGCTCTTGTTCAAGCAGCTGCAACTTAAGATAAGGCTTTCCTAGTGGACTCTCGTCTTTCCACAGCTGCAGCCCTCCATGTCAGATAGTCTGTGTTGTGTTCCTGGGGAGATGGGAACAGTTGTTATACTAGTCAGAGTTTCTATTGCTGTGATGAAACACCATGACCAAAGCAGCTTGGGGAGGAAAGGGTTAATTCGGCTTACACTTCCACATCATAGTCCATCACTGAAGGAAGTCAGGACAGGAACTCAAGCAGGGCAGGAACCTGGAGGCAGGAGCTGATGCAGAAGCCATGGAGGGTGGTGCTTACTGGCTTGCTCCCCATGGCTTGCTCAGCCTGCTTTCTTATAGAACCCAGGACCACCAGCCCAGGGATGGCTCCACCCACAGTGGGCTGAGCCCTCCCCTATCAATCACTAATCATTAAGAAAATGTTTTGCAGACTTACCTACAGCCCAATCTTACCGAGGCATTTTCTCAATTGAAGTTCCCATCTGTCAGATGGCTCTAGCCTATGTCAAGATGATGTAAAGTTAGCCACCACAGGGTCTACTCATCCCAGATAGGGAGGCCATGACAGACCAAAGTCTGGATACCACCAAAGTCCAATTTGGTGAGCCCGTGAGTTTTACTGGCGTTACTAACAGGTGTGTTTGCTGGTGGGGTGGTGCCAGGGCCAGCCCCAGCTGTTCTTTCTTTCTGGTTCTCTCTTGAGGTAATGGAGGGGCAAGAGCATCAGCGGGGGCAGGACTGGCCTTGCGAGGTCTTTAGGGAGGCTGTATAACAATAAAATGTTCACCTGTCTTAGTCTAAGTCACTTCGCTGAGGTAGCTGACCTGCCTGTCTGAGTTCCCGAGGCCAGAAACTGCAGTCTGTGGTGCTTAGCAGGGGATTAAAGCGGCCTTTGTTCAGGAGCTGCTTGGCTCTAACTTCCAGCCTAGCCTGAGAGCTGAAGTCTTGGGAAGGAAAGAGGGACAGTTAGAAAAGTGATTGTGATCTTTAATTTCTCTCTAAAAAGTTTTCTATGGAAGTTCTCTAAGAAAACTCTTCTGAAAGGTTCTGTCTAAAATGTTCTTCTTCCGTTCTGCTTAAAAAGCTCACAAGTTTACACATAAGTTCAAATCATAAATTGAATAAGAAGCTTACAACAGAGTGTCTACATGCGTATCCATTAAGAGTAATTATCTGGCTAAACATCCATCACCTGTCACAGCTCCACGGGGTCATGGAGAGTTAAAGACCATCACTAAGTTGCCATTGAAGTTCTTTGTAGATAAACCCAGTCAGTATTTTATCTTCTGTTCTTGCACCTATAGTAAATCCTTAGTTCCCTTTTTATGACCTTTGGGTAGTGGTTATACAACCTGCTGGAATGTGTCTAAGTTGAAGATGCCTGCTTGCTTTCTCAGAAGCAATTAACTCAGGACACTAAAGACTGGCAGAGATCTCACTGCAGTTTTGATTATAGAAAAGGACCTAATAGCAGTCCTATTATAAAAGAGCTTAATGATTACTAATATAATTTTAGGGATTCATAATTAAGAAATCATCTATTTGTCTATATAGCATCCTTACAAGACAGTACATCTTCACTGTTCTGCAGAGATCTGCTCAAAAGGGTGAGCTAATGCCTAGTGATTGTAATATATATTTAGTAATAACAGGAAAAGCATATTAATAGCAGGACTTTTTCCTAAAATGTAATCTTCTCGGCTTTGCCTAGAGAAGCAAACCCATCATTAACTTTGACAGTCCATGGTTGAACCATCTCAGGAAGATTACCTGCTAGTTTTTAGCATCTCCTGATGACTCCTGGCAGGACCGGGTTCTAACAGGAGCAGAAATAACTCAAAGATGGCTACATCGGTAAAACTGAGCCAGCATGGGCTACAGCTCACAAATCCAGGAACCTGGCACACTGCACAGCCTGCAGGCAGCTCAACAGATTGAAGAGTGTCCTTTCCTGGTGCCTCAGTTGATACAAGTCTCTTCAGGCAGGTGGGCTCCTCAGAGAGACTCTTAGCAGTCTTTACCACTTATATCCTATTAGGGAGAGAAGGGCTTAGTGAATCTGTTCAGCTTCAGAAACTGAAACTGTGAAACTGTGTGAAACTGTGTGAAACTGTGTTGTTTACTTCCTGAGCCTAAGGAGCTTCTCTGCAGGATGGAGTGTTTCACTCCCTTAGCTCATCTGCTACTTCACCCTCTGTGAACGACCCAGGTCTTAAGGAGCTGCCCTCTGAGATGGAGGATTCTAACTGCTGTAGAGGGTGGGATTTCCCTCTGCCACTGACTTGTCCTGAGAAATCCGTCTCCCTTGTCAGGGCTGTGGGCTTGGTTTGGAGGCAGGACTTGCCGGATTTTGTCTGCTCACCTGTTGGAAATGGCTTCTCTTTCCCTGATCTTTACCTGTGACCTATGCAGCTCAGTGTGTTTACTACCTCTCTGGGTTGCAAGGTACTTTCTTCCTGCTCAGTTCTCTGTCATCGTAGATTTCTGAAGCTCTTTCCCAGACCAAGTCCACTGAGCTAGGGTCTCTTCCTCTCTGGTTCACACAAAGTGATTGATTGCCCTTTGTTTCCCAACAAAGACCTCACACATGTGAGGTAAACACGCCACTGAGAAGCCATGCTTCAGTCCCTTACTGAGGAATTCTCTAGATCTCACTATAGTTTAGACTGACCTAGAATTCACTCTGTCTATAGCTCAGGCTGATCATCCTATCTCAGTCTCCCAACTGCTAGGATTGCAAGATTAGGCTATCATGCCTGGCTAGAAAGTGACCTCATGGACCTGTGGCAGGTGACAAAGAGAGCCTGGTTTCTAGTTGTGGCCTCAGAGAAAAGCCACAGAATTGTCTGGTCTCCTTCTGCAGGCACTGGGCTGTGGTGTGGAGCTCTCTGATGCTAGCTGCAGGCAGTTTCTGGATCAGCTCATTGGATTTTTTCATTTCTACATGGGCCCTGTCTCCCTGGCCTACAAGGTAAGAGTGCAGAGGCCCGGGGCATCAGGCCCTTCAAAATCAGCAGTGCCGGGCCAGGCCTTCCTCGGGCCTGTCTCTGTGTCATGTGGTTCCATGTCGAATGGCACACCTAGAGCCCCTTAGGGATGCCTGTGTGCCCACGTGTCTGTTCCCCCTTTCTCACTGGGCTGGTATACCTTTCAGCAGTATAGTCCCTGACTCTGTAACACAGCTGTTCAGACAGGGATGGGATGAGACAGACCTGGGAGCCCCTTGCAGAAACGCCACCATTACCTAGAGCCTGTGTCCTGATCTCAGGCGCCGACTTCCTCTGTCTTTCTCTCAGAGCCATTCTCGAGAGGAGCTGAGCTTGCAGTGGGATACCCTCATCACACAAGTCCTCAGGAGCACCAACGAATCGCACAGGATCTTCAATGCCCTGTGGAACCTGGACTGCACCAAAGTAAGGCTGTGGGCGCTCGTGTTCACTGCCAGCCTGGGGATGTGGGTGTGGGTGTGAGGTGCTTCAGAACACCTATGTCAGCATGTAGCTAGGGGAGTGAGAGAGTGTGTGCTTCCAGCAGTTGAACAGTTTCCATGCAGCCGCAGGCGAGATGGGCTGCCTCTCGGAGCCTTGCTGTCTCTTGATGGGTCAGGGTCCTCCTGGACCACACTGAAGGCCAGGGAGGCTGCACTGATAGGGACCAAGCAAACACTCACCTAGGGTGACATCATTGCCTCTGAAGGGTTGGCCCCAAAGGCCTGAGGGTCCCTTCTCTCGCCACACAAATGGCACAGGCTTTAGTGACTCCTCCAAAGTGTCTGGCTCACATTTGAACTCTGCTTTATCTGAGAGAGGCAGGAAGTTCTGTTTCTGAACCAGTCCATTTCCCACTCGTACTGATCCAGTGAGCACTGTCGGCTGTGTGCTGGCCTGTGTCTCAGGTCTGAACTTTTCTCTCGCAGCTGAAGAAAGTGACTGGGACTCAGCATCCCCAGAGCCTGTGGTGTTGGGCATGGGGTGGGGACAACAGTGTGAGTGTCACCTGGTTTCTGTCGGTGCTGGAGGCCAGGTGGGAGGCTGCTGTGTCTGGGCAGCTCTGGACAGGCTCATGTGATTTTCATGGTTGAGCAGTTAGTTCCTTGCAGGAACTGTGGGCTGGCTTGGGTTGTGATCACCGCCGTGGCTCTGAAGCCCGCTTTCCAGCTGCCCACGTGTCTTGTGTCTTGTCTTTCCCAGGTAGAGCCCCTGCTGCTGCTGAAGGCAGCCCTCATCATACAGACCTGCCAGCGCTCACCCCATGTGCTAGCCGGCTGCATCCTCTATAAAGGACTGTGAGTGGTGCCCCCTCTCCTCACCCGTGTGCCTGCTGACACCCCTCTCACACTCCCCTCTAGTTCCGTGCCAGTGTCTGCAGTTCAAAGACCGGGTCATGTAGTCTGGCCCAGGGTGCATGCCCTTGCAGTCGGGAACTGTTAGAATGCAGTGTGGAGCCTGCTGTGGGCAGCAGCCAGCAGAGGCTGTGCTAAGTTCTGCTTCCAGCCCTCCCTCCACACAGAGAGCCCCAGGGCCTGACAGCCTCTCCTCATGGAGATTTGTGCTCACTGCCAAGACAGGCCAGGACTTGTGATGCGCCTCAGCCAATGCTCTCCAGGGGTGGGGCTAGGGGGCTGTTCTAGCCCTGGGTTCTCTACCTCTCTGCTCTGCCATCTTGGACAAGTAGCTTGGACCTAGTCCCTCTCCTGGGGCATGGAAACCCTTGCTGGAGAATGAAAGGCGTGGGCAGGTGTGAGAGCCAAGCACAGACCCCATGAGCAATATCCATTCCCTCTCCCCCATTCTCCTCGGTATGACTTCATATGTCACTTTGGCATAGATGGCACCAAACAGAGTGTTTGTGGCAGCCAAGGTGGCTCCGTGAGTAAAGGTGCTAGCTATGAAGACTGGTGACCTAAGTTCCACTCTGAGACCCACATGGCGGAAGGAGAAAACTGATTCCCCCAAGTTGTTCTCTGACCTCCACACATGCCCTAGCACTCGCCTGTGAGTGCATACTTGTACACGCACACACACACACGCACACACACACACTTATACACTTTAGTTTGAGACAGTCTCTCACCATATAGCCGTGGCTATGTTGGAATTATCTATGTAGTCCAAGCTGGCTTTGAACTTACGAAGATAGGCTCCCTCCTGAGTTCTGAGATTAAAACCATGTCTAAACCCCTCTGTACCAATTACAGAAAGTAGAGGCCCTTTTGCCTGGCTTTTAGCTATGGCCACGGCCAGCACATGGCAAGATGTCCCACACTGAACTTCTGTACTGACCCACATGCTGATTCCCTCTGGTCTGTGCACGTGGGGAGTAGCCCCCAGGACTCGTGTGTGCAGCGAGGTGCTTTTGTTTCCATTGGTTTCTGACAGTCTCACTGTACTCATAGCCCAGGCTGGCCCAGAGCTCAGAGAGGAGCTCTGTTTGACAACAATGGGTGTCTTTGTGCTCTGAGTGGTTGGTTCAGTGATTCAGCGTACTTCTCTGTGATGAGTAGCCTCATGGCAGCTCATCCCTGCCTGGTTAGAGTGCTAATCTCTACCTCTCACTGAGGCCTGCAGAACGGAAGACTCACTGACAGTCTACCACACGAAATTCCTGCCAACCACATCTCAAGACCCTTACATCCAGGGACACTGGCATCTCTGGAGCTGAGAGGTCCCAACACTTCTTCTCATGGCCTTCTTGTCTCTGTGTCTTACCCCAGGATTGTGAATTCCCAGCTCCCGCCTTCCCTTACTGCCAAGGTCCTGCTTCATCAGACTGTACCTGCAGACCAGGTACAGTATGGCCTGCAACCTGGTGGGAGGGAGGCTGACCAGAACACCTGCCACCCAGCGTGGCCGGGCAGGCTCCACGTGGTAGACAGGTCTAGGACACTTCTTCACAGCGTCTGTCACAACTCTTCATCTGTTGGTATGATCAGGAGTCCATGAGAGTAAAAGCTGGCACTTGCCCTATGTGGAAGGCTTAAGCGCTGGTTCTTTCAAGCCAAGCAGAGCTGAGCACACTCGGCTCCCATTAGCATAGGCTTGACGGTAGTGAGCACACACAGACTGTATTGTAAAGCAGATGGGAAGCTGCTGGCCATGGCACTGGCGCTTCTCGTGCCAGCCCTGGGAAGCTGAGGCAGGACAATCGTGAGTGCAGAGCTACACCAGGCTACATGCTAAGACTCAAAAACCAGACAAAAGGAGAAAGAGAGGGGAGGGGAGGGAGGGAGGGAAAGAAGGAAGGAAGGAGGGAGGGAAGGAAGGAAGGAAGGAAGGAGGGAGGGAGGGAAGGAAGGAAGGGGGGGCAGGCCCAGGGAAACACCAAGTTCATGTGCAGTCACTGTGTTTGTATGAAGAGCAAACACAACCACTGAGAATGAAATTGCCCACAGGCAGGTGGCGTAATGACGCAGGCCTTCAATCCCAACAGGTCTCCAAAGACAGAGGCTGGCGGATCTCTGTGGGTTCTAGGCCAGCCTGGTGTACAAGGCAGTCCCAGGGCAGCTAAAGCTAGACAGTAAGACCCTGTTTTGGGACAGGAGGAAATGCCCCAGACAACAGCATAGGTGCCATGGTTCTCACCACCGTTGCCATCTTGCCTGCCTGCCTGCCTGCCTGTCTGTCTGTCTCTGTCTCTTTCTCTGTCTCTGTCTTTGTCTCTCTCTCTCTCCCTTCTTCCCTCTCTCCCTTCCTCCCTCCCTCTCTTTCTCTCTCTTAGTTTGTTTGTTTAGATTGTGGAGATGGGCATCCCACTGGGTAGCCTGGTCTACATAGAGGGTTAAATTGCTTCATCTCCCCAATGCTGGGATCCTAGGGTGAGCCACAGGCTTGCCTTGTTATGAGTTTCTGTTTCAAACACTTCGCTTCGCTGTGCCAAGAGAGTGAGCTGACATGAAGAGCCTGGGAGAGCACAGCTTCCTGGGGATGGCGTGTCTGCAGGCCACCTTCATGGTTGGCAGCTTGGAACTCTAAGGACGCTCTTGTCTGTCTCCAGTGACTCAGCTTCTGGGAATCCACACTGAGGGAGGACAGGACCCCCGTCCTACAGCAAAGGGAAAGCCTGTGGGCCTGCTGCCTGTGGATGCTGCAGGCTCTGGCTGCTGGTGCTGCCGCAGGCAACTGTCCATCTGCTGTCCAGTGCGACAGCGTGCATCTGAGGTCGGGACAGAGGCTCATGGCCCCAAGAGTGGAAACACTTTCCCACCTGTACAGGGAGGACTGGTCTCTAGCCTATGGCCGAGGGTCAGTTGGTTTGCATGAGCTGGTGCAGATTCCCTCAGAGATTTTAGTCTTAGCTAGAGATTTTACAATGAGTGCAATTGCTTATACTGTTTTAAATGGAACTGCTGAATTTTACCAATGCCTTAAAGTAGTAAGAGACATTCACTTAAAGGGAAACTTCCCAAGTATTACTGGATTGTTAGCTTTAGAGTGAGAGGTTACATAAGTTTGTTTGTTTGCTGTTGCTGGGGACTGGAGTCCAGGGCCACTTGTACTTTGCCACTGAGCTGTGTCCCCAGACTCTATGGCTCTGTGCCAGACTGGGCTCCCGAAGGTGGACTCGAGTGGAAACCCTTGCTCTGGTCTCATGGGAGGCACTTGTTAGTTCCAAGCTGCTGCCGGGGAGCCTGAGTGGGTTCAGTTCTTGCCTCTTTCTGGCCTCTCAGAAGCGCGTGGCCCTGCTCCATCTGCTGGGCTCTTTGGACCAGGGTCATTCTAGCTCCCTGGGCTTGGCTGAGTCCTGTGAGCAGATGGTGCCATGAATTCTTGATGGTTGTCAAGAGAGCGTGGCGTCTGGTGCCAACCTGTGTATGTGCTTGTTTCAGAGGCTGCCTGGAGGAGGAGCGGCCCCACAGGGAACAGGTGCGTGCTGTGGTGGACAGGGGTGGACTGCCTTCATGCTGGGTGGGCCAGAGAGAACTCAACCAGTGCCTGTGTGGATTTCCTGTACGTCAGACAGAAGGGTCTAGACTGCTGAAAGGACAGTTGCCCTGTGGCACCCTGATTTTTAAGGACATGGTTTTGAGCATGCCCCTCCACCCCCCGCTCTGTGACTCCATCCTGTGACATTGCTTAGTCCGAGTCCAGCGTGTAGTGATGGAGAGAGAGGAAGAAAGCTGGTGCAGTGGCATCCCCGAGGGGCTCTGGCCTCATTCTAAAGCCTCATTTGGCTGAGTCCCTAGCGAGCTAGAAACCTTTTCTTGTGATTCATCTTGTCTGACGTCTCCCTTCTCCTCACTGGACTGCATCCGCACTGCAGTTCTGGGCTGTGGGCTGAGGGAGCAACCCAGGGCTACTGCCTGCCTAGGGTGTAGCTTAAGTGAAACTCAGTCAGGAGCATCAAGGGCCAGCCTCCTCCCTGGATCCCGCCCATGTCAATTTTCATTGCAGGAGCAGTGTTGCCCCCTGATGTGCAGATCACCCCTGTTTTTCTGAGTGAGGAGGAAGTTGCCAGCCTCCACGAGTTCCCAGTAGAGCATGAAGCTCGGTAGGTTTGATGTCCTCCGCTGTCTTGTCAGGGGTGTTGATCAGCGAGCGGTGTCCTGGCATACAGCAAGCTTAGCGTGAGACCCAGTGTGGAGTGGGGTGGGGGGTGTAACTTAATGTGTGGCCTTGGCCACCTCTGGCAGTGATCCTGGCCTCACTGTGAGCAGCCCTGAGGACCAGTTGTTGTTTCTTTACCTTCCTTGTATAACCACCGCTGTAGCATCTTGATGGATGCCTGTGCCTTCCAGAAGATCAGAGCCTCAGTGTCCCCATGGAGGCCTTTGTCCCACAGTCTGCTGATGTGACGTCTCTTTTGTTTGCTAGACTCCAGGAAAGTTCATTTCAGTACCCTCCCTGGGATCAAAGCACGCCTACCCAGGCAGAAGATGCCTGGACATCAGCCTCTATCCTGGAGCCCACGCTGCTTGATGGAGCCTGGCCGAATGGCAGTGAGGCAGATGAGCACATGCCTAGGCGTGAGCAGGAGCATGCTGGGCCTACAGGACTGCGCACCGCTGCCTGTGGCCAGGGCTCTGGCCTCGGCAGCAGGCTGCAGAAGGAGCTGCGTCTCTCCCAAGAGGAACTGGACGTGTCTGAAATGCACATTTCTGAGGCTCAGGAAGCCTTCCCACCTGTGCCTGCTGTGGGTGATCAGGAAGCTATCCACCCCAGCCACAGTGCCCCCAGCCTCAGTGCCCCCACACTGCCTGAAGACACAGCCGTTTGCAGCCATCTGGACCCTTCCCCTCTGGAGAGGCTCCCTGAGAGTGGAAGGCTGGAACAGCTTGCAGACCGTCCCCTCACCAATGGCCAAACCCAAGTTCTTGGCACAGACCCTCTCCCCAGCAGCAAGCCCGTCGTGTTTCTTCCCCAGCATCCTGTGGGTGTAGAGCCCAGTGTGGAGCCATATGAGAACGGAGCCCAGGAGACCTGCTCGGTCCTGGCACGCAGTTCCCACTCAGCGGACTCTCAGGGTCCCAGCCCCTCGGCAGACAGAGTTGGCTTCAAGCCATCCCCATCTGGGCCCCATGCAGGGCTCGTGCCCATGAACCTCTACACGCACAGTGTGAACGGACTGGTGCTGTCCCTGCTGGCCGAAGAGACTCTTCTCAGCGATACTGCAGCCATTGAGGAGGTGGTGAGTGTCCTCTGGCTCCTCTGTACCCTCCTCGAATCGCATCACTGTGGTCACACGTGTGTGACATCACTGTAGCACGCATGTGTCACAGCACTGTAGCACGTGTGTGTCACATCACTGTAGCACACACGTGTCACAGCACTGTAGCACACATGTGTGACATCACTGTAGCATACATGTGTCACAGCACTGTAGCACACATGTGTGACATCATTGTAGCACACATGTGTCACAGCACTGTAGCACGTGTGTGTCACATCACTGTAGCACACGTGTGTGACATCACTGTAGCATACATGTGTCACAGCACTGTAGCATACATGTGTCACAGCACTGTAGCACGCATGTGTCACAGCACTGTAGCACACCTGTGTCACATCACTGTAGCACACATGTGTCACAGCACTGTAGCACACATGTGTGACATCATTGTAACACACATGTGTGACATCACTGTAGCACACACGTGTCACAGCACTGTAGCACACACATGCATGTCACAGCACTGTAGCACACACGTGTCACAGCACTGTAGCAGAGGCAGTGTACAGACTCTGGGCTTTTCCTTCCCTGCTTCCTGTGGTCTGATGGAGCACAGCTGTTGGAGAAGGCAGGGCTGACATGAGTGACCTGCACACAGCTCCCCCTTGGTGCCGTGTTTCCTTTTCAGTCACCTGCAGCAGCGGTCATCCTCCCATTCTGAGGTAGCCAGGCCATGCAGGCAAGGCCGAGCTGCCCTCTCCTGGCCCAGCTCCTGCTGAGGCAGTGCGGGCACCGTAGCCAGGCATCTGCCATCTGAAGCACATGGCAGCCGGGGTGGGGTCCCCCAGGTGAACTTCCTCAGACCCAGCCTCACGTGGCGACCCGGTGCTCCCTCCCAGAGTACGTTTGTGACTAGACTGGCTGTGGAGGGCTCTGCAGCTGGCCTGTGCTACTTTGTGGGTTCTTTTTTTCCCCACCCCTTTTCCCTCACCCCTGGTTTCACTTCCTCACACTGGATAGGAGAGAAACAAGGGCAGGGGAGACTTCTGAATCTAATTTCTTTCCTTTTGTTTCTTCTTTGATCACCGTGACTAGCAAACTACCACTCACCTTCCTGAACGACCAACAGCCACCTGCCCCGCCTCTCGGGGCCTTCACATTTATGTTCTTTCTGAAAAGCCCCAGAATTCCAAAGTCACACAGAAATTATCTGCAGCTGACAAAACCATGCTTCTGTTAGAGCACGAGGCAAGTCACGGTCAGCTGCTGCGGACCGTCCAAAGCAGCCCCACATCCCCACACTGGGCACATTCTTATAATATTTCTGTGTATTTTTTTTTTAAAAAAACCAAAATTCCAGAATTATCAAAAATGTCGCTTCAGGGCTCCTTCTGAATAACCACGTTCCTGAAGCAGTGAACTGAGCTCTAGGGTCTGGGCCCAAGCTGGCAATAGAGTTGCCATGGTAACAGCCTCACCGAGGTTGGCAGGAAGAACAGTTGCTGCAGGGCAAGTGGTGTTCTGGGGCCTGGCTTGTTTTTCTTCTTAAAACCACATTATTCTGAGGCAGTCTCATTGGCATGCAGGCCATGTGGCCCTTCACTGAGGAGCCAGTCACCTTGGAGCCAGGACAGGCTACCAGGCATCTTCTGCTCCACAGACCCTGCCCGCAGCTTAGAGTGGAGGCTTTCTCTGTGTGCCCTCATTTCCTGTGGCTGGGTCCACCTCTGCTTTAGCATAGCAGGGGCTTCTGGCTGCCTTCCCCCTCAGATCTCACCATGCTGGACCTCAGGAGCATTGCTTTGAAGGCCTGGTATTTGGATGCGCAAAACAGACAGAATGCGCCTCTGCTTGCCTCTGCCCCCTCCGAAGAGACCCAGCTCAGGCCACCTTGGGGAGGGGCGGTCTGCGTAGTTACATGCTGAGCTAGCTTGCTGTGTTCGATGTGTCTGGAAGGCAGGCCCTACAACTCCTGTCTTGGGAGGAAGACAGCCTTGTGAGGTGGAGACCTCATACCAGTGGCCTCTCACCGCCCAGCCCTCACCTCTGTCCCCGGCTAATCTGTCCTTGATGAAAGGTTGAAAGGGGAGAGGAGCATGTCCAGTCCTCTACAGCCTCCTCTGTGGGAGGTGTCAGTCAAGGCCAGCCACACGGCTCTGACCACAGCCTCCACTGGCCTGTGCTGGAGGCTTGTTGCTGGTTGGGCCCAGGAAATGGTATGCAGGTCGTAGAAGACTAGAGTTAGCAATGCTTTCTGGAGGAGGGAGCTAAGCGCTAACAGCAAGATGACCTGAGAGAATGGATCTGAACCACAGACCCCAAGACGGTTCTATAGGAGAACTTTTGTTATCATCCCTGTCTTAAATAGAAAGTACTTCACCTGGCTTCTCTGCAGCTTCCCTGCTGCTTTCTGGAAGGCAGATAGAGTCTCTGCAGAGTGGTCCCACAGGATGGCTGGATGGTGGCACAGCCTTTTGAAGAGCCTGAGTCCCCGTGGATCTCTCAGGGTCCGCAGGAGGCAGCCCAGGAGGTGACTGGGAAGAGAACTGAGCTGTGCTGTCAGTGAAGGTACAGGAAGTTTCCACCAGGTGCCTAGCATCTCTGGGCCTGGCTTTCAGCTCTTCACCCATGATAGTTACAGGGGCCTTCAGTTGCAGGGAGCCTGTGGCTGCGTTAGGGCTTCAGGGCTGGGTTGGGGCAATGCCTACTTGAAGTCAGGATGGGAGCGCTCGGTGAGCTGCTCAGTGGAAAAGCTTCCCATCTCAGCCATGTGGGCTACACGTACACTGCTCCAGCCTGCAGCACTCCGTCACCCTCAGATGTACTGTGGACTAAAGTCAGATGTCTACAGGCCATTCCGAGATCATGCTGCATATCCAGTCAGCGAGCTTTTTATTCAGGGACTCAGGAAGCAGACATTCTCAGGTGTGCAAGCTCTGCAGCCTTGTGTGGTTCAAAGCCAGACAATGTGTGAGCGGTGCGAGAGGCTGTGACCTTCTGTGACTCGTCACATGTCACAGTAAATAACGTAACAGTTGTTAAGCTGTACACACACAGGTCACCTGTTACACCTATGGCAGGACCTAGTCATCAGTGAGACGCCTCCTCCATATGTCAGGCCTTGTGCTGGTCTGTGGTTGAGCAACTCTACCCTGACTACAGGCTAGGCAGAACGTTAGAGAGAGCAGGATATAGTTGGTTCACTCTCTGGTCCAGTTTTCTCTCCCTTGTCAGCAGCTTGAGGAAGGGTGGCTATCATCAGGTCTCTGAGGTCCAGAAGTTGCAGTGCAGTTGCATGACGAGCTCCCCTGGGTGTCCCAGTGTCTCCCCCTACCCTCAGGCACATACGGCTTTGAAACCTAGGCTTGTCTGCTGACCCAGTCTTGGTGAGCTGCTGACTGTCAGCAGCAGAGGTGGCTCGGCCTGCACCTGCTCTCTCAGCTGTGCACTCTCGGCTCAAGTGCCTGGCGCTGGCTGCCCATTGACTCACTCTGAAGTCTGTTCACACGCCACTTCACTGCTGGAGCTCCTGAGAATGTGTGGCCCATTCCTACAGCCTTTCTCGGCTCACATCCCTCCCAGAGTCCTGAGCACAGGCCACAGGACCAGCATGCCTCTGTCTCCTAGAAGCTGCATACGCTTCATGGGAGAGACCAACTCACAGTGACCTTCACCCAGGCCCTATTGTTGCTGGGAAACACTGGAACACCAGGCTACATTATTGTTAAAACAGACAGCCCCAGAATTTGGAGAGACGGCTCAGGGGTTCAGAACACTTGCTGCTGCTTCAGAGGCCCTGAGTATACTCACAATGGACAGCTCACAGTTGCCTGTAACACCCGTTCAAGGGATCTGATGCCCTCATCTGAGCTGCATGTATACCACATAACACATGAAGAGAGGGGGTTGGGGGGGTACACACCTATAATCCAAGCAGCCAGGAGGCAGAGGCAGAAGGCTTTGCACAAGTTAGACTGGCTTGGTTTTCATAGTGAGTTCCAAGCCAGTCGGCACTACATAGGGAACCCGTGTCTCAGACAAGCAAAAGCAGCAGATGAGTGTAACTGGATGTTCTAGGAGACACTGCCTGGCTGTATTTGCTAGGTCTAGTGGCCCTTGAGGCATTGTCTAGGTGCTTACCTTTCAACTAAGTTTGCTAGCCTGTAACCCACTCCTGGCCCCTCTGCAGTACCACAGCAGCCTGGCATCGCTGAATGGGCTGGAAGTCCACCTGAAGGAGACACTGCCCAGAGACGAGGCTAGACTCACAGGCAGCACATACAACTTCCTGCATTATGACCGCATCCAGAGCATGATCTCAGGTAAGGGGCAGGTACAGGCACCTAGCTCCACGTGGGTGGAGGGAGAATCCAGCTTCAGTCAAGGCAATACCACAGAACACAGCCCTCTGGCCTCCACTAGGCAGTAGCCCCCGAGTTCACTGACAAATGCTCCTTTGTTTCCTTCTTGTTGCTATTTCCCGAGTGAGAACTCGTGAGTTCAAACACCTGTGGTAAGGTGAGCCCCCCGTGTGGAGCTGCTGTGGCTTGCAGTGGGGCTGGCAGGGCTTTCTCCAAGAGGCATCAGTAGGGTGGGCATCTGGACATTCCACACTCGAGCTGCACCTCACTGCCCCCCCCCACTCAGCACTGGGCACAAGGAGTCAGGCAGGGCTGTCACTCACCGCCTCTGTCTCCCTCTGAAGCCAACCTGCCCCTAGTGGCTGCTCCCCAGGACCGCCGGTTTCTGCAGGCCGTCACCCTCATGCACTCCGACTTTGCCCGGCTGCCTACGCTGTACGAGATGACCGTCAGGTGAGCCCCTGGGCCTGGTGGTGAATGTGGTTGGTCCCTTTGGAGGCCATCCTTCCATGTGTGCCTGGGTCAGATTAGGACAATGGCAATACCCTAAGTCCTTGCCGTCACAGAGCACAGGGCTGCACCATTCCTGAGGGTGGGCCAGACAATACCGCAGGGTTCTAATTACAAACAAAACCCACTGGGCAGAAACTTGAGATCAGACATTTCTCCACTGCCCACCACCCCCAGAGCCCACCTCCGTCTTTTTGTCGTGGCATTCCAGGGCAGTGCTGTCTCAGTTCCCATTACCTGTGGCTGACACAGACGACACAGTTTCCATTTCCATTGTCAGGCACATTAGACAGCTGGAGAGAGAACCTCCCCTGCCCCTCTGTTGGCCTGTGCTCTCAGAACTGGCCAAGAAAGGACTCTTACTCCTTTCAGAGTGAGGAATGTAAGCACACGTGGAGACAGCGACATCCCAGGCCATTGTCTCAGAGCAGGAGGCCGAGGTCTGACCCCAGGCCTCCATCACTCTGCAGTGCACACTCTTACCCACAGGTCCCAGTCGCTGGGTGAGAGCTGTGGGTCTGGAGTCAGTGGGAGCACACAGAGCCTGCCATACTGCTGCCAGCTGTCCGCCCTATGTCATCTGCTGCTGATAGCACAGCCTGTCCTCTCTAGCTGACAGCCAAGTATTAACTTGCATCTGGAGCCACTGCTCTGGGATCTGGTGTGCTGGGTGTGTGGCTGTGGGCTGGGAGGTGGCAGCAACCGTTTGACATCTGCCCCACCAGCTGCTGGGGCTGCTGTGTGTCACCTTCCTAGAGCCAAGAGGGTTCAGTGTGGGGAGAGCCCAGGGTGTGTGCTGAGTGGCCTCTTACCACAGTGATGGGGGCACAGCTCCTTGGCACATAGATTCCTGTGGGCTCTAATAAAACCAGGGGCTCTCTGCTTGTCAGCAGGAGGGCTGGCATTGCCACACAGGTGTGACTCGGGGGTTTTCCCACCAGGCCCTTTGACCTTGGAGAGAAACCTTTCAGATATCTCACAGGGGCTAAAAATCCCTATGCCAGCCAGGTCCTGCATGTGCCCAAGGCCTGGAGGTTCCCCTCCTTGTCCAGCAGGAGACGGGTGAAGGACGGAGCCCTAGCAGCCCTGACCCCATTATTAAACAAAATTAGGGAAACCGAGTGTTGGTGGGCTTGAGGCAGGAATAGTGTAGAGGCCAGAGGTGAGCAGGTGGATGTTAGCAGGTGAGGATCTCTGCTTGGTTCCTGTGCCCTGCAAGGGAAGGATTCAGCTGAGACACAGTTTAAGATGAAGTTTACTTCACAAAGCAGAGAAGTTGGGTTGGGCTCTCCTGGGAGAGATGGGGGAGCATCATAGTGAATGCTGAGTATGGGGTTTTAAGTGAGTGTGTGTGTGTGTGTGTGTGTGTGTGTGAGGTATGTTTCTCTGTGTGTGCGTATATGAGATGTGAACACACGTGTCTCTGTGCACATGTCTGTGTGTGTGATATGTGTGCATTGTGCATTTGTGTATGTGTACATGTCTGTGCATATGTGTATAATATGTGTGTGATGTGTGTGAGTTGTGCACACATGTCTGTAATGTGTGTGCAATATGTGCATTGTGCATATGTGTGTGATATGTGCACATGTGTTTGTGTGATGTGTGCACATGTGTGTATGTGCATATGTTTGCATGTGCACCACAGTATGAAGGAGATCTTGCAAGAGTCGGGCCCTTCTTCTGTCATGAAGGTTTCAAGGGTGGAGCTGAGCCTGTCAAGCATGCCTCTGGCCCCGTGTTGTGGATTTTTAAAGGCATTCTTAGGAACTTTGTGCGATTGATGGCATAGTCATGGGGTAAGGTAGCCCCCTTTTCCCGTCCCCCACATTTCCACTTTAGAGTATTCACAGGTTTTAGCACCAGGGTGTGGGGGGGATCAAATCTGCAGTGCAAATGATACTGGTGTTGGGGATGCAGACCCTTCAGTAGTGAGTGGCCTCTGTCCCAGTGTCTGAGCAGGGTGGCATCAAGATGCAGATGAGCAGCATACTGTCAGGAGCTCCGCTACCAAGATGCAGCTGGGGTTTCCTTGGTTACTCAACACCTACCTTCTTGAGTCCTCATCACAGGTCCTCTATGCAGCACTCTGTCAGCTGTGGGCCCAGGTTTCCTGCTCTCTGACTCGTCCCAGGCTCCTTGGCTGGTGGGTGGGACAGTCCCTCCTGGTGTGTCGAGTAGAAGGGCAAGAGCAAGGCTCTGTTGGGTTGACAGAGCCCCAGGGTTCATTTGTTAAGTAACTGAGTCTTCAGAACCTGGCTGCAGCCATCTCAGACCCAGAACTGAAAAGACAGGAGGGCAGTTGCTCCCCAGGCCTGAAGATCAAAGCAATAGTCTGAGCCACAGCAGACATTGGGGGCATTGGGGTAGCCAGCCCTGGCCCACAGCCACGGCTGAGCTCTTGTCCTGTTTCCTCCCCAACAGGAATGCTGCCACAGCTGTGTACGCCTGCAGCAACCCTGCCCAGGAGACCTACTTCCAGCAGCTGGCGCCCACTGCCCGCGGCTCCGGTTTCCCCAACCCTCAGGATTGTGCCTTCAGCCTCTCGAGCAAAGCCAAGCAGAAGCTGCTGAAGCACGGGGTGAACCTGCTGTGAGTGGAGTGCAGCCTGTGTGTCACGGGGCCGAGGAGCGGCCTCTCCAGACCATGTCCCCAGTGCTAGGGGTTGAGCAGGACCTTGCTTCTCAGTGGCAGCTGCAGGAGGCTGCGTGGGCTCAGGTTCTGTTGTGTGTTAGTGCCTTGAGAACAGTGCGGTGCAGAGCAGGCTGCAGGCTCAGGAATGCAGCCGCAGGAATCTCAGCTGAGGGGTTACTTGAGGTATCCACGGTGCTTTGCAACCTTGCAGTGCTGAGCTCCAGGTTTATGAAGCAGGTTCCCAAAGGCTCAAAAATAAAATGACCAAACTGAGTTCTGAGTGATCGGCCAGCATTTATTTCTGCGGCAGAGTGAAGGTGTGGACACTTGACACAGCGCACACCCATCAGTGCGGGCACTTGACGCAGCATGCGCCCATGCCGTCTCTTTCATTCTCCTGGCTCTACACAGAGTTCTAAAGTAACCGTTAGAGCACACAGCATCTGCATAGAACCCGTACACACAGACCTGTACACTGTCCTCACCTCAGGTGAAGGGCAACACCAATCCCACAGGCCTGCTGTGCGGGGAGCGTCTGTCCTGTGTTGTTGAGACTGTGCACGGTGATAAGATGTGATTTCTTTTCCCATAACCCTTGGTCTCGTGGGTACAGAACTCATGGACCTGAAGAACTGGCTGGATGTTTTTCCCACGGACTGTATACACCAGTGTGCCTGTCTGCGGGGACAGAAGCCACAGTGGCCTCCAGTCTCTTCCTCTCCCTAAGGCCCCTCCAGCTACTGGCTGGCCAGAGATTGATCTCCCTGCCGGGAGGGTCCCACTTCCAGGCGGACACAGGTATATTGATCTCCACCCCCGACCAGTTCTTCAGGAAAGACACTCATTCCAAGTTTGTTGCCAGCTCTCAGGAGACCTCATGATGAATTCACAGCTTGTTCTGACAAGCGGTGCTCTGTACAGGACACTCTCCCTTAGGGGTTACTCCGCTGTCGGGCCTGTAGAGCCCTTTGCATCTTACCCCAGGGCTAACACAGGAATGCATGTCCTGAACCTCAGCAGGCAGGCAGGCAGGCAGGCAGGTAGGCAGGCGTTCACCTTGCTCTGTCATGGGGGATACCTGATACTACTCCTGTAGTCTATAAGCAGTGACTGTCCTGGAGGCTGCTGGGAAAGAACATCCATGCCCAGCTTTCTGTTCTAGTGTCCTAGGTGCCTGGCCTTACGGGACAGTTTGTGTCTAGCCCCAAACCGGCATCTTCAAAATCATCCTCTAAAAGTGGGATGTTCCCACAGCAGAGGCTCCACCCGGTCTGTGGCAGGCTCTCATTATACTGGGTGAGCACCAGGCCCTCCGTGGCAGTGTCTGCAGAAGATATTCATCTGGCCATCATTCCCATTGGGGAAATGACCTGGGCTCCCCGGGAAACATTCCAGTCACATCACTTCCAAGTGACACGTGTGGAAGCTGTCCTGTGGTGGCTGTGGTGTCCAGGCAGGCCCTGAGTGCTGTCCTTGGTGATTCTGAGGCAAGGGGTGTTCAAGCCAATGTACTCATCTGTTACAGGTGATGCAGGGTTCTGCTACACCTATGCATTTGCAGACTGGATGCTGAGTGTGAAGGGGGGCTGGGTATCTCATGGGAGAGGCAGGCCCGGTGAGGGCGCTGAGGTGCCAGCCTATCAAAGGAGCCTCAGCATGAGAGTCTCTGCCTGTCCTTGGCTGGAAGGTCACCACTCCCAAGTGGGTGGGAAGCAGGAGAGCAGAGGCGTTGGCCTTCTCGAAGGCTGTGGGCTGGCTGTCGCTGGGAGGGCTCATGGCCTACAGCCCAGAGAGGATGCACTGTAAGTGGATGAACCTGGCAATTCACAGAGGAGCCAGTCTACTTAATGGATGACAGGTACCCACCATCTTGAGATGTAGTTCAGGGTGGTCATGCACTGGGGCGCTCACAGTCCACATCTGCCTTCTGCCCGGTACACACGCCTGCTCCCAGTCCTCAACAGCTGGCTCCCAAGAGGAGAGTGGCACCCGCCACTGGTCCTCTGTGAGGAGAGAACTGCCCTATGTTCTTCCTGTGTGTCTTAGAATCCTAGCAGGAAGTTGTTTGAGAACTGCTGAGTGGCAGTCCCTCTCTGTCCCACCTCCCAACAGCCAGACTCAGCATGCCAAGGTAATGGCTCAGGGCTCTGGCCAGAGGCCCGTGGAGGCTGCTGGAGGCACTGGATTCACCCTGTTTCCCAGCTGCCAAGCTGGTGCTATTATCAGCCTGGGCTCCTGTTACAGCACTTATTACCAGGGACAGTAAGATGCTGTTATCCTGTCCCGTGTCTCTCCATCCCCCACACTGCCACCTCCCATCCCTACTCCTTGCTCAGTTCCCTCAGTGTCTGTCCTCTTGCTAAAGCCTAGAAGATGCTGGCCCTTCCTGCACCCCAGGAAAAGGCATTCTGGGAGCATCTAGGACATCGGCCGTTTGGGGCCTCAGTACCAAGGTAGGGCTTGAGTACATACACGCCCATTTCTTAGGAGATGAGCAGTACATGGGCTCCAGCAGGACACCCAAATCTGAACCGGAGAGTCCCTGTGGTGTAGTCCTCAGACCTTAAGCTTCCTCCCAATGACTACAGGAAGCTCTGTGTGTGAGGAGAAACACCAAGGGCAGACATTCCCAGCAGCTGTGCTGTAGAAGCTCAGGCATCACACATAGTAGGTTCCACTACTGAGCTCTCTCTCTCTCTCTCTCTCTCTCTCTCTCTCTCTCTCTCTCTCTCTCTCTCTGTGTGTGTGTGTGTGTGTGTGTGTGTGTTTTCACTCTGACGGTGTGGCTCAGTGGTAGAGCCCCTCCCTAGAATCCCCTAGCGAGGGGCTTGGGGCATAGCTCAGTGGTACAGCATCTGTCTAGGATGTACTAGTAAGGGACTAGAAGATAGCTGAGTGGTGGACTGGCTGCCTAGAATCCTATCAGTGGATGTAAATCAACAGTAATGTTTGCCCAGTATGTATGCAGCGCTGGATTCCGTCCAACGAAAACCCCTAAGCAGTCACCACGAACTTAGGGTCAGCTTGCATGTGGGTTAGGGAGAGAGGTAGGAGGGAGGTGACCAGGAGTCACCTGGGAAGGTGGTGAAAAGTGATCAGACCCATATGCACACCTCCTGCCACCTAGCACCGCCGTCAGCTTGAGGGCGTCCACGGCCATCTGTCGGCGGCTCTACGTGGCCTCGTTCTGTCCCCGTTCACTGTGTTTTCATCTGGTGAGCAGCAGTCAGCTGAGGGGTAAATGTCGGGGAAGCCTGCCGGCAGTGATGCCTGCAGTCGAGTGGAGATCCTCAGGGAAGCCTCGGCCCCTCGCCTACACTCGTGTGTGTGTGTGTGTGTGTGTGTGTGTGTGTGTGTGTGTGTGTGTACACGAATTAACGTGCATCTGTGTGTGTACCTGTACGGGCCCTCTCGTCCTCGGAATGCTGACATCATACTGCCTGATAGAAAAGCCAGGCTAAGCTTATTGAAACGAGCAGGAGACCCCTGCCAAGGACAAGACTGAGTGGGTTGGGACTTCCTGGTGGCACAGGATAGAAAGCACCACTCCAACTTGGCTCAGGAATCAGTGCAGTCTCTTTGCCTGCAGAGCCTGACAATCAACAAGCAGGTCTGGCTTCATCAGAGTTTGCACCAGGATGTGGATGGACTCCACAAGTGGGGCCAGCTAATCTCCTGCGGTTCCTGCGTGGGCTTCTTAGCTGTCTCACTCAATGGTCCCAGCATTAAGAACTTGCACCTAACCCTGACTTAACAGGATGGGAATTCAGGAGACTGGTTGGTCAGGACCTGGTCAGGGATGAAGCCCTCACGTCAAGATTTGCCAGACCTGAAATCCACGGGCTGAGAGTGGGCTGTTAGGGTTTTGTGCAGAGCTAGCATGTGCAAGACCCTAAGTTCTATCCCCGGCACTGAAAACAAACACAAACAACTCAGTACCCAGGAGTCCTTCCTCTGTCCCTTCTTGGGCATCTGTGGCTTTGCTATGTAGAGGGATCCAACACCTACCCAGTACCTGTTTGTTCTGTAATAGGTCATATCTGCAGGGAACCAACTGAGACCAGGAGAGGGGGCATGACTTTCCAGAAGTGGCAGGGGAATGAATTCCAGGAGATGAGCCCGAGGCTACCTTTCCAGAAGACATTTTTTTTTCCTTCAGGAATATGCAAGAATTTGTAATTCTTACAATACAAATGTTGTCCATTTTACCATCGGAGCTGACTTAGCATCGCAGAGACCTGCTGCCTGTTCCCAGTCACACTTCCATATCTGGTATTCGTTGGGGATGGAACCCAGGGCCTCAGGCCTGCTAGGCCAGTGTTCCTCTCTGTTAGGACAGCCATTTATCTTTTCCTACTGTTGATCATGGCCTCAGCCATCTCTGTGATGCCACTCGGGAACCAAAAGCCACACTCCCACACGAGCCCATCAGTTCTCGCTGCCTTCTCTCACAAGCCGCTTGACCACATCGCTTGTCAAAAGCTCTTTATTTACTCCCTGCTCCTTAACCTTGGCATGTAGTGGGGGACAGTCAGGATATCTGGGAATCATGCACTGTGAGGGGCTCTGCCAAGACCCCGAGTGCAAAAGTTCCGAAGCCTGATGCTTCCCTCTGGGTGTTTTTCCTACATTGTGCACTGACATCATCAAATTACCTTCCAGAGGTGGCTGGTTTTGCATTGGGACCTAACAACAGACCTGTACATAAGGCTGTTTACTCTGTCCTGCTTGGGACCATACCCACGGGCCCACCACTCCCAGTGTGTCCCGAGAGTGTCTAGCTGACTGCATTCTCCCATCAGTTGGACTCAGGACCTCTGGCTGGCCTTCTTTGAGAATAGAACTGTGTGTCTTCTCTGGAGACTGAAGAATCAGCGCCATGTCTGTGGATCTGGAGCTGTCTCCGGTGTCATCACACCCGCTGGCACTAGTCATTGCGTTGACAGACATGGTGATAACTCTTTGCTGTCTCTGAGTCTAGTGTGTGAAAGTTGACATACAGGTATGATAAATGTTAACTCTTAGGCAAAGCCTGGTGGACACTCCGGTCACATGGCCAGTGGCGGAGGTTCAACCCATGCTTCCTGCCAATCTGTGGACTAGAAACCGTAGCAGCAGCAGCAGCATGTGTCAGGCCGGGCTTGGCAGTAGGCCTCTGTAGGCAGTGAGCTAAGTGGATCCCTGTTCTGTGGCTGACCTGAGCGCCCTCACTGGTCTTCAGCTCTGTAGGAGGATGTGGTTAAAGAAAAGGCCCAGGTCGCCACCTCAAGGGC